GATGAATCGTCCATGCTCATCTCTGCGATAAGTATTCTGAAAATGTGATTCACAATACTTTTCTTCTTCACTCTGAATTTTCATTTTATAGTCTATATCCTCTATTCTCCAGAATTTTTCTAAGCAGTCTTCGACTTCTGTTTGAGTGGTTATGAAACCGCAGTGAATTTCTGGAGTGCGGGTATTTATTGCTCCAGTTGCAATGTATCCAAAAACAGTATTGCGAAACACCAAATCACTGTTTGCAACGCGGATATCTCCAGCCTTGATAATTTCGAAAAATACCTCCGCGCCTAAAAGCATATCTATTCTTCCAGTTACCGCGAAATTAGGATCTGCTAATTGTTGCGGAATTTCTAACTTATCTACTTTGAAGGATGTAACAGGAAGAAAATCGGTAATTTTGGATACCACTAAAAAATCAAGAGTTTTCAAAAAAGAACTATTACCATTACAAATTGTAGCTTGTATTTTTGATCTTATTGTAGTTTCGTTTCCGCCCAAACTCGAAACCCGATAATTTATTTTTTCTTGCGGTACTCCTAATTTATTAGCGAAATTAGCTGTACAAATATTCGACATGCTGCCTGAATCTAATATCGCCCTACATTGCATATAAGATCCATTTAAAGGATTTAAAACCCAAATTAAAACAGTCGGAAGAAGCCCTGTTTTATTTTTCGAATTAATGCAAGATAAAGAAGCAGAAACAATTTCATTATTTTGTTGATGAATATTAAATACCGCTGCTTCGGGATTGAGGTCATGACCGTGAGAAGAAGAAGCCAAAACCGCAGAGTTGTTTATAGTTTCGCGTTCTTTATGGAGTAGTGTATTATGCTTTGAGTGGCATATGTAGCATAAATGTTTCGATTTGCAATTCAATAACTTGTGTTGACTGCTTAGACAATTTAAACACAATTTATGTTTTGATACCAGCTCACTTCTCTGATGACTATTCAATTTCAAAAAAGAATCGCACTTAAAGATCGGATGATTCATTTTACACGAAATGCATGATTGAGTTACACTTTTATTAATTAGAAATGTTTTCGTTTTTGGATTTCTCTCTTGACTTAAGGGGTCGGTGGACTTTATAAACTTTTTTTTTTATTTTCTGTAAATCAGCTATGAAATTTTGCTAAAACATTAGGGTTCTAACCTTATTAACTGTAAATTAAAAAAAAAAACTGAAAAAATTCAAATAAAATTCATTTTTTAAAATTTTTTTGAAAAAATTAAAAAATTTTCAAAATGTTCCTTGCGGGACAATTTACAATATATTTTGATAGTTTTAGCAAAAAAATGTTATATGCTAAATCAGAATGTTTTGTAAGGATTATTTTTTATATCTAAAAATAATTTAATTAAAAAAAAAAGTTTTTATTAATTATTTTCAAAATTTTTGTAAATTTAGGGATTTTTTCAGCAACGAGGAAAATTTTTTTGACTTAAAATAAAAATAAAGCTTAAAAAATCCTCTAATATGTTTATTATAGTTTTCAAGATATCATATTAAATTTTGGAGGGCTTCGCTAAAAAATTACCCCGCGAGGAACATTTTTAAGCTAGAAAAATGTACAAATTTAGCAAATTGAGAAAAATGCGTTCAAAGTAAATTTATTGCTTACATCACATATTTATTCAAATAAAGTTAGTAAATATTTTTTTTATGGTGTTCAACATAAATTAGAAAATTTATTAATGCACAGTATAAAGAAAATTGAAATTAAATTGAACAGAAATAAAAATTGCTATAATAATTGATTGCATTAGAAAAACAAAATTTAGAAGCATTTCACCTTAAAATTTTCCAGGTGCATATGTACTGCCTTCTTTTTTAACATTTTTTTTTTCTTCATTCACAGTGCCATACTTTTTAGTTAATCTGTGTCTTTTATACAATTTAGTGTTCCTTTGAGCACTTTGTGATAAACGACGCTTATCTCGTTTTTCGGCAATGTTCAAAGAAAAGTAGTCTGTTTCGTCTTTTTCAAGGTACAATGTATTTACACAGCCAAAGTTAAATTCAGATACACTTGAAATCACTGCGAACTCCAAGCGTTCTTTCGAGACAAATGTTTCTTTTGAACACTTATTCCAAATGAGGCTATGAATGCTCTCATTGGCATTTTGTGTTCCACCTGACGTACATCTCTTCAACAGTTCATCACTCGCTAGCCTCTGATATATTGGCAAAATTTTGGAGAGCACATCTTCTGAGATGTAAGTTTTCATAGCTTCATGAGAAGGTTGAATTTCTGAGGTAGCAAGTGCCCTTTGAAAAAAGCACCAAGATTGTACACCGGTTGGACATTTACTGTGTTTCGGTGCTTTGTCAGACGATGAACAATGCAGTAAAGAAGCGTATATAGCTGATTTCATTTTTGTTATGTCTGGACAATTGTCTTTGATTGCCTTCCTATAAAAATTTGTTAACTTTATTATGGTACTTTCTTTGAGGCTGCCTTTTTTGCGCCCTCCGATCGTTACTCCTTTACTTCTCAGCTCTTTTACTTTATTGCGCAACCCTGTGCCCAGTCTTTTGGACACATGGTTGAGGCATTCCTCTTTTACGATTTGCACATCCTCGCCGTAAGGTTTTAATTCAACTAGATGTTGATAAGTTCTCGAATCTCCATCTGATACAATATTTAGGTAGCGGAAACCACAATTTTTTACAGATCTGCTCAGGGACCGATCAAGACAAATTCAGACCCAAGGCCCACCAAATTTTCTGGGCCCCTTACAAAATATTTTGAAATTAAATTACTAAAGAGTAGTCCTAATAATGAAAAAGAATCCATTAAACTGCATGACTCAAGAGAAACATTGTAAGAAATTTTAAAAGCAGACAATTGAAGATTATTTTTCCAAGAAAAAGTTTACGTATCTATAAATTAAAGCAAAATATAAAAACAATACAATGTTATGTCAGAATAAAAAACAGTTTGGTGATCACAAACAATTGAAATCAGTGATTTTTGCTAAAAGTCACTGATTAGCTGAATTATTTTTAATTTAGTACTTAAATCAAGACATAGCTAGCTCACCTTTAATTAGCAATTTTACTAATTTTTGAGGCCCCTCAGAAATTGTGGGCCCTAGGCCCATGCCTATTGGGCCTAGGCTATAATCAGGCCCTGGATCTGCTCCATAATATGCCTGCAAGAACCATCTCCATGGAGCCTGAGGACCCGCTGAAATTTTTTGAACACTCCGACTTGTGCCCATTATACCAAATGGAGAATTCAGCACTATCGTTTCCCAAGTCTCTTTTAGCCGCAGTGCATTGCGAGCAATATTTGGATGAGATTTCAAAGTCTACGGCTAATCCCGTCAACACATCGATTACGACGCCAAGTCCATATAGCGATGTATGGCCTCGCTTGTGCCACGAACCATCGAACGAGACTGTGATGTCAAGAAGTTTTTCGTCATCAGATAAACAATTTATTTCAAAATGTGTCTTTCGAACAATTTGGCGGGCAACACACAGCATATCCTCTCTAAATGTTTTCTTTTCTTCACATAGAGTTTGCAAACATTTTGAGAAAGTTTTTTTGTCCATTGTTTGAATTCCTAAAGCAATAGAAAATTGTTCCAAAGATGCGTGTCCTTTACCAATTTTCAGAAATGCTTCGACAAGTTCTATGTTGGCGAGAAAAGATTTTGAATCTTCACAACGAGGACTAGAAAAAGTTGATCCAAGCATTGTTTCACAATTTCTGCAATATAGTTCTAGTTTGGAAGAATACCCATATTGTTCTTTGAAAGCAACATCAACAGCTGCTTCATCACATTGAGTACAATTTATGTTTTTGAGTAAAGTACTCCACATATTTTTGTTCATAAGAACATAGTTAGGGGTCTTCTGAACTTCCTTAGAAGTAACTTGACTATTGTTCAAAGTTCTCACAGGGAATTGCAATTTGCGAGCACTAACACTAGTATTTAGTTCAGTTGTTGAAGAAAGGGGAGTATCTTCCTGGGGTAAAATATTCTCATCTTTACTAACATCTTTCTTCCATCTAGCTTGATTTCTTTGTTGAGCCAAAAGTTTTTTTTTCGATGGTCTTGCTTTTGGCTTTCTATAACTTCTGTTAATACTATGCATTTTGTAATACAAGTTACACAGATATGAATTAAATCTAAATAAGTTAGTGATTATATTTTTAAAGTATAAAACGTATTAAATTTTAGCGATTAGCTCTGAAAAGAACTGTTTTTTTTCCATTAAAAGAAATATAAAATGAGAAAATGTGGATGAATCTAATCGAAAATACAAATATAAACAAACTGAATGTTTACAGTTAACAGTCACAGTTTATCTCTGATGCTAACAAAGCTTTTAAATATGAAACCGAAAATAAATTTAAATGAAATAAAAAGTACAAAATTAATTAAAACGACTAAAAACCAGGAGTAAAAACTTAGTTTTGATTTCAAAACACGTCAAAATTATCGTCTGCTCAAATTTCGATTTCTATAAAAAGTGTAATATCTCGACAATGGTTGGACGGATTGACAAAATTTTTGTTTTATTTTATAGGTAACATTTCAGAGATGATTTATTTAAAAAAAAATTAAAATGGAAAATTTGCAGGTTTTTTCTTAATTTTAGGGTCCACCGTCCCCTTAACTTAAATCTTAAAGGAGTGGTTTTGCTAACATTTTCTAATATTTGAGCTCGTTTTTCCAAAAATGAAAATAAATCATCTAATTTAGGAACATCGTTTGAGCTAATATTTAATTCATACTGCCTTCGAGTTTCCCTATCCAATTTTTGAAGTACTATATTTAAAACAAAAATATCAGAAAGATCATTGCGATTATACTCCAAAATTTTTAATGCTCTTATATTTTTCTTTACACAATCAATTAAATTACGTAAGTCTTTAGCCGACTCATGCGTTAATTTTTCAATATCTAATATTGATTTAACGTGAGATTCTACTATTAACCTTTTGTTTTCGTATCTTTCTTCTAAAGCTGTATATAATGAAGTGAATGTATCATCTAATGTAATAAGATTTTTAGCTTCTCCGATTAAAGCTGAATTTAAATAGTGTAGTTTTTGTGCATTTGTCAACTGATTATTGGATGTAATAACATTATTGAATTGCAATTTGAAAGTACTCCATTCTTCACATTTACCCGAAAATTTCGGAAGCGGAATTTCTGGTAATTTTATGCTAACACTATTGTTTACAAAGCTTGAGGCCGTTAATTTCACTTGATTAACTGATTCTAAATAGGTTAAGCAATTTTTAATTTTGCACTTAGCACTAATGATTTTTTCGTTGTATTCTTCGCTAGTGCTAATTTCAGTTTCGAATTCTGCTGGAACCGAAATTAAATTTTCAATTTCAGAATTTAATGATGTCAAAATACTCTCCTTTTGACTTAATTGCTCAAATATTTCATTTAGTTCTGTTATTTCTTTAGTGTCACTTTGTATTATAGTATCTGCTTTTGTTATTAGTTTTGTAGCGCTAGTTCTGATTGTAGCGCGTTTCTTTCTACATTTCTCGATGTTATCCATTATTTATTAAATGAAATTATGCGGTAAATAAATGATGAAAATTTGCCTACCTTTCACTAATTCTATGGCTGGAGATATGCTGCGTTATTTCTGATGCGATGCGTGGTCAGTCCAATAATGAATGCGGGATTTTTATTGTAAATTTGCGATATACTGGATCTTTACTCTCCTGATCGTTCGGACCAGATGTTTTGCGATAGCTTGCAGGGTGTATAAAATCAAACTTGGACAACGTGGACTGTAAATAATTTATTTTGCGGGTGCGCTGGTAGCGCTGCGGAGATGCAAAAACCGAGCGTGTATGCTCTTTGGTTGTTTTACATTAACTGACTCTTTTTTCTAATTAATGTAAGTGGCGCTACTATTACTACATTCATACCGGCTTCAACAATGTGTTACCCGATAAAAATATTTATAAACATAATTAAAAATTACTCCTAAAATTAAAAGATCAATGTAAAGGTATATCAGTTGGACACCGAAACCGGTTAGTATAAATGTAATAAATGTCCGTTACGAGGACAATCCACAATAGCTGATGCAATTGTCGTTATAGCGAGCACGTAGTTATTTACATATATTTAATGTTAAAAAAGAACTTGGTAACACTTAATGTTGACTTCAGTAATAAACTATCAAGAAGGGAAATAAGTGGATAAGTGGCCAGCAAATGATACATCCATTTAAAGTGTGCTGCCGCATTCCCGAAAATTACAAAAGATTTTCTTTTCTTTCATGAGGAACGTGACCGATGGTTGCCTGGAAAAGTTTGCTTTATTTAAGGGGTCACAGTACCCAAAAAATGACAAAAATACCAAAATTTTTTTTATTGCTTATAATAAAACTTCAAAGTATTTCAAATGTACAGAAAAAATTTCATCTCTCTATCTACATTTTTAAAAAAGTTATGAATGATTTTAAATTGTTCTAATACAGAAACTTGCTCAGCAGTCTGACTTTAAAGTGCTTTTTCACATAGATGATAATTTTGTGTCTTCATCTTAATTAAATCCCTAAGGAATTTTTTCTATTTAAGATAAAGCTTTGAAGTAAACTTTTTTATCTTGAGAATAATACACTTATTTAAACTGTGCATGGATTAAGCATTTTATGAGGTATTACAATTTTTACGGCTTGTTATATATACTTAACAGGAATTTTTAGCCTTTTTTTTCTACTTTTTTAGAAAATAATCTACAAAAAATTTTCTAATTGAAAAATCAACAAATGAATGCACAAAATTATTAAGATAAAGATTGCAAGCACTATGAAAAAAACTTTTCTTGAAAATATGATAAAATAAAAAAGCCTTAGGGATTTAAAACTTTTTTTAAAATTTTAAAAAAATTAAACAGTTTAATTACTTTATGAAGATAAATTATTGATTATAACTTAAATGAGCATGTAAAGCATGCTCAAAATGAATGATTATACCTTTATTTTAAAAAATTTTCGCAAAGGTACTGTGACCCCTTAATATAAATAGATTAAGATTGAAACAAGAAAATGAGGTGAAATGATGCTCGTTTTAATTTTTCTGTATTAATATCAGTCATACATAAAAATGCCTACCATTTTTCCTTTTTTGTATAATTTTGCTTATTTTAAACATTAGAAATGTGTATTTCCATCAAAAAAAAATCTTTTGTAGCAAATTTTTGAAACTCGTTATAAACATATAGTTTTTGTATTTACAATTGTAGCATTTTGACGGTGACTTGGAAATCTGACGTAATAGCGAACATATGTCGTGTTCGTTGCATCGAATTTTCACGATATAATTATTTGAACTTCCAAGAAAAAGGAAGAAAATGTTTGACTCCGATATTCTTTACGATCGCAAATCTTAACGTCTACAAATCAGAAAAAAAATATCTAAATAATATTAATGATTGCTTACTCATTCATTTTTCCAATATAATTGATACCAGTTGCAGACAAATAAATCCAATATCTGAAGAAGAATCCAGACGAGATACAATCTCTACTGCATCTTCGAAATTGACTTTTTTCTTATTAAGTTTGTTTAGTTTTTTTTCTGTTGTTAAATAATATAAAGGGTTAATCATGGCGGAAATAAAATGTGCAAAGTTATTCTAACTGCTAATACCTTTGTAAAAGTACAAGCAATTATAACACTGTAATTATTGTAAGCACATCAATTATGAAACAATAACTGGGTGAAATCATAATAATATTTCCTTCTTCCTTGGAGTAATTAGATCATGATCATGATTTGTTTTACAAGCATAAATGGGAACGTTATTAAAAAAATGTAAGAATAAAATGTACATTTCTTACTAATTAAAATGAATAAAAACAATTTATCAATAATCGGTTAATTTTCAAGAAAACGGTTATAAAAGTGCCTATTTTTTTTATACACGTATTTGATTAGCGTGCTGACATCTAGTTTAAAATAAGCTAACTATCTACAATTGCCTTAAAAAATATCCTGGTACTGCCATCTGGTGTGTAAAATAAGAAATAAAAGGTTCTCCGGGCAAAAGAAATGAATTAGTTTTATCCTTATTGGCGCGTTACTACTGAACACTCCAGCCCGGAAATATCACGGGAGCGAGAAATAGAGTGTGAAACCTCACCCCGTCCTTTTCACGGGAGCGAGAAGGAATGGGTTAAACATACCCAAAAATGTTAACAATTCTCTTCCTTTTAGTACAATAACTTTTTCTAAAAAAATTTTTGGTAAGTAAAGTTACATAAGAAAGGAGATTCGGTTGAGTTTAAACAATTCTTGAATAAACGAGTATTTGTCAAAAATTATTAGAAATCAAAATAAATTAAAATAGCAATAATTTGTTAAATTAAGGGTCCCACTCATAAATTCAAGCTACTAAATACACAAATTAAAATTTAATGTTTTTTACTAAACTCAGTGGCGCGACAGCCAATAGAGGGCCAAGGCCTACTGTGCCCATCTCAGTTTTCTTGACCTAGGGCTCTGGGGTGCAGGGGAAGATGTTCCGGTCAGGTGGTCAGCCGAACGCAGATCCTCCAGTGTTTAGTTCCCAAGCATGCTTGGTACTCATTTATCGACCCACTGAAGGGATGAAAAGCTGAGTCAACCTTGCCCGGCCCGAGGATCGAATCCAGGACCTGTGGCACGGGAGCGCGAAGCGCTACCACTCAGCCACCGGGTGTCAAACCTGCCATTATAGATAAATTTAAATACAGATTTGGTTTTTAAGCATTCTTCTCGTGTATACTTTACATATTTCTAAAAAACAAAAAAAAACATTTTGTAACAAATAAATATACAAGAATCAGATTATTATTTAGAACTAATCATGTTCTTAATGTCTCTTAACAAGGTAAAATTTTGAAAGTGGGACTTTTTGGACAATTAATTTTTTGATAATTTTAGTTTGGATAATATTGAAAGTACTCTTTACTCTTTGTGTCGACTTTCAATACACGGGGTGGATATTAAATTCTGTGACACTAAAAAAAATAGGAATTAATTTTAATCGTTTAGTTAAACGTTCGTTTGCTAATCGTCAGTTTGTCTATCACTATTCTTGTGAGTGGCGGTTTCTATAAGTGCAGACGATTTTTACTTAAAGCAAAACATTTAAAATAAATTTAAAGATGGCATCGAAAAGTTTCATGGCTAAACAGCTTTCCGATCACGTATTTTTTGCAGGTAGAATCTTCAAGCAATTAAAATCGCTTGGGTTTTAGTAGAACATTTATACAGGGTGATTTTAAAAAGATTAGCAAAATTTTAGGAAGTGATAGTACACACCGAAGCAAACAATTTTTATCAAAGAATGCATGGTCGAAAACAAAACGCAAAACCGCTAGAGGGCGTCAAAGTTTATGTTCTTATATGAGGCAAAACACACAAAGAACGATGAAGTTAAGTTATAAAAGCAAATTTAATGTCATGTGATTACAATAAGTGTTCAAAACAGTGGCCGGCAGCAGCTATGCACGCAGTACAAACGGCAAAGAAAAGATAGGCGAACATTCTGAAACACCCCAGAGGCATATCACGAACTTTCCCTGCAACCGTCGAAAGCTTGGCGACAAGTAACGCAGCGCAGTAACTCGCAACAGGAATGGCGCTTTCACGTTTGCATCAAACAACTTTCCAAATGCGCCAACACCTTTGCGTTTTGTTTTCGACCATGCATTCTTTGATAAAAATTGTTTGCTTGGGTGTGTACTATCACTTCCTAAAATTTTGCCCATCTTTTTAGAATCACCCTGTATATAGAACTATAAATCGATTATTGGATACTGATAGATGTAAAGATACACCCAGCCTGCTACTCCACGCTCAGTTCGTACAAAAGAACGCATTAAAAGAATTCGTGAAGGGATATGAATAAATCTACAACGCTCTGTTAATAAAATAAATGAAGAGAATGTGAGTCTCAGAAATATGCAAGTTATATTAAATGAAGATCTCGATTTTTGCTCTTATTGAAAAAAAAAAATTCAAGGCTTAACAACTGCACAAAAATTGAAAGATTAAACCGGCACGGTAATAAAAATGTTGAAAAAATAATCTTTTCTGTTGAGAAAATATTTTGCACAGAGCATACTGTGCAACGCTTTCAGAGCAGGAATTCTGTAATGGTTTGGGCTGCATTGTCAAATAACGGAAAATTTGGTCTGAAATTCATCGAAAAAGGGGTGAAAATCAATGATGAATTTTACAAAAAGGAAGTGTTGGCTGTAAATTTATTGCCACATGCTGACAGATTGTATCCCAAAATCGATTGGATATTTCAGCAAGATTCTGCACCGTAACACCGAGCCAAAACAACACAGGCTTGGCTCCATGTCAATCGTGCGAAATTTACTAAACCAAAAGAGGGGCCCCCTTTTACACCGGATCAGAATCTCTTAGACTACTGTGTTTGGGAAATTCTAGAGTATACAGTTAATACTAAGCAGCACAGAAGGTTGGACACTCTCAGAACTTCTTGATTGCGTGAATGGAACAAATTACCTCTTAGAATCATTCATGCCCGCATCGGACAAAGACGTTAGAGATTATCTTTTGTAACTTATGATGATGGTTGTCGATTCGAATAAAATTTTTTTAAGGTAAACTTTATAGTGCTCATCATAGTTGTGTATTTATCATTTTTCTATTTAATATCTGTACAATAAAATGATTCGATATTTGTAACAGTATTTTGTACCCACCCTGTTGATAATTTTATCAGTCACAATCGGGTATTTGTCATTTTAATGCTTTCATTTCTATTTTGACAGTATTTTGAGTGTATTCGAATGCTATTAATTGTCAATTTGTTTGGTCATTTTCTTATCCTTACGTTGGAATTGACTCTCAGCAATAAGACACTTGGTTTGTCTATGGAAATGTTTGAGCCAGGCTGTGATCTGATCACTAATGTCGACTTGTTCTTCGGTTTTAAGATGAGAAAAAAAAAGTTATGGATGGAGGATGATGAAAAGGATGAGAAAAGAAAATTTCAAGAATTAAAATCAAAATAGCATGATTATTTTTGCTATTTAAACGCTAATTACTTTGATAATCGTGAAATATTTCGAAATTATTGTTAGAAAATTCCAAAATATTATTAGAACAAAAGTACAGATCAAAATAAATAAAGTCATTAATCATCAATAAACCATTAAATAAAATCAATACTATTTTATAGATAAAAATAAACACTGGTAAAAATTGTTCCAAAATATTAAAAACTATAAATCAAATTTAATAACAATCTCATCGAACTCCTGTGAAACATTTAAGAATAAAAAGCCTGAAAATCTGATTAACACTTTAAATGAACACCTTTTATTTTTCGCTGAAAACACCATCTGCATAGCAAATCTAAATATGAAACCAAGTACGCATCTGAAACGAGAAAAAAAAATTAAAACATAGCAGTACAATTAGTAAATAAATGAAAAGATAATTTTTCCTGAAAAGGACTTTCGTTTTGATGATAGATTTAGCATTCATTTTAAATGCGAAAATATTATCTATTAATTATTTAAAACTCAAATTTCTAAAATACCATAAAAGATGCAACCTTCTTAGAGAAACAAAAAAAGTAGAAGGAAGGAGTTAAATATATCGTACAATTACTAATATTCTAATGATTCTGAAATAATTAAATCCAATTTGTTATTAATCATGTTTCTCCTTGAATGAAGCGGGGTGAGAACAAATCAATGTCGAAGCAATTCAGAGCATCACGAGGTGAGGCATATCTACCCTTTACGAAAGTCACTTTTAAAGGAAGGGATGGAATGTCAAATCCAATAATAATAGCACTTTGATAGCTATCAGCATTAAGACGCATTTTTTCTTTTCAAACCAAGGGAGAATGAAAAAAATATTGAAGCTCTTCAGTAGTACTAATAACCTTCAGAACGTATAGACATAACATGCTGTATACACAAATGAAAAACTGACGATCGTTAAGTGAGGTTCTACTGGGCGTAACCACTAATTTTTATCCAGGAATAGATTGGTATGAAGAAGTCGATTAATTTATCATTCGTTGAAGAGGATGCTGATTGATGTATTTTCAGTTGTCCATTTAAATCAGATAATCTATATCGTCGATGCACCCTCTTCCCTACCGCTTTATCCACCCTACTTCTAATGTCGTTGCCGAGAGAAAGGATACAAACAGGTCTTAGGCTGGGAAAGAGGGCACAATATTCATTTAATAATTGATAGAGGGAGGACAATCATCCAAGAGGCACAAAATCGAAATGCTCCTCAATAAAAGTTAGGGAAAATCTTGCAAAATAAATCTGTAAAAATGTTTCGATTTAGTGAACGGGGAAAATCTTAATAATTCTAATTGATTTATTAAATAGGTCAAGGGAAAAAGCCTTTCTCACGAGTTAGTTAAGGGATAAACGTTAAAGTGTTATATATATATATATATATGTACATCTGTGAGAACTAAAATTATGGATCGGA